AATGTGTGAGCTCATTAAACGCTGTAAGCTATAGTAAGTCACATCGCAATTTGTTGTTTGTAGAATTCCATCAGAATTTCTGCCGTACAAGTTTTATTATTAACTAACTCCTTCATCTGGCATCTCATGAGTAATAAAAGATCCTTTATAGTGTGCCATCATAAGTGAGACATTACTTGTTCCACATTCCTACCTACTTACTCACAGCCAAGCCAATCAATACACAGAGATATTCACTTCCCCAACTGTTGTTTCATCCGCCCTTCATAATTGTCTCTTAAAGGAACTCTGTCATGATGTAAGACATCAGTGTGATTCCAGGGAAGTATGACTCAGATGGAAGCAGTCTCTTCTATAGTAATGTATATATAATCTATATAAGGAAGAAACTTAATGAACAGGTTTAACTTCAGTGCCCTAGAATTAGGTATGGCAGCTTCCACTGGCGCTTAATTTACATATTTGTTGCCTTTTTAAGGATTGCCTTCAAAGTTATCATGTCAGCCTTTTTTAAAACTTTTGGGGAGTCACTCTTATCCTGTTTTTACTTTTGATCAGAGCTGGACCACATCCCTTAGAGCTTATTCAAACTACCTTAATTGCGGTAACATGTAGTAAACATGCGCGTTACTGCAATGTGTGGTAGTACACTGTGCACGCGTTGGTGCATTGACCTGGCATTTATATTTAACGGCACCCCAATGCATGTTTAAATGTGCGTTAAAACTGCAGCAGGGCCTCCATTTTGTACGTTAAAGTGCTTCAAAATGTTTGGGCTGCCTACCACTGCTATATTGAGTGCTACATATTGCCACCATCACTCCCTGGTCAGCATTACTGGTTACTGAGGCACCCTCCTTTGGACAAGGGCCAGAAGAAAGGCAGGGCTTGACTCAGAAGTGGGGAAAGTCAAGCCCTTTGTAATAATGTGACTGTACAATTTCCTTATTTGAGGTGCTTCAATATGATTGGGCTGCCTACTTGTGTGGCATGGGCCCTTAAAGATAAATTCTCCCCAGCCACCAATCCAAGGTCAATATTCTTACTGGTTACTGAGGCACCCTCCACTGGACAAGGGGCGGCAGAAAAGCAGGGCTTGACTCAGAGGTGGGGAAAGTTGAACCCTTTGGAACAATGTGACTATAAAATTTCCTTAGGATCTACCAAAAACTTTGTAGGGCCTGCCTGACTGGATGCATGTTGTATGGACAGTCTAGGTAGGTCCTTATATTATATAGTTTCTAAAAGAGATTGTACAGTCAAATTGTAACTTTTTGTGAGACATAAAGCTAAACTCTGGGATAAGCACATTTTGTCTAAATCCAAGAGCCATGTGCATTCCTACATCTCAAAGTGCTTTGTGTATTTCTTCCAGATCTGTGCAGTAATCCAGTGTAAAAATATGCCTCTGTGTAGGAGCTTCCTGTAATAAAGACCGGTCACTGCTGTTCTCTCTCTCTGTACGAAGTGAGTGGTCTTGTCTTCGTCCGCTCCTGTATTTTTGCAGGCAGTCTGTGGTGGGTCTGTTGGGCCTCTCTCACAGCTCTGCTCTCCGCACAGGCTATGAACCGCACAGTGATGATGTCACTGCTACTTTTGTTATGTAATAACTAGGGATGTCCCGATACCGATGCTAGCATCGGAATCGGGCCCCATACAGGGCATTTTGACAAGTACTCGTACTTGTCAAAATGCCCCGATGCCTAGCGCCGAAGCTTGCACTGTTTTTTTTTCTTACTTACCTCGCCGAGCGTCGCGTCACTGCTGCTCCGGTGGGCGGAGCTCCAAGCGGAGTCATCTGGCAGTCTCTGTTCTAATTTAGGTGGCCGGAGACTGCCAATTGGCATCGGGACATCCCTAGTAATAACTATATTGCAAAGGCATTTGGTGCACACGAAGTAGATTTATATGATTTACGGCTATTGAGGAATACATTTAAATTAGTGTTTTCATGCCCGGAGTAGAGCTTTAAAGGAGAACTATGGGGTTAAGGCTTTTCCCCATAGTTCTCCTCAGGGTAACTGGAGGACGCAAACTAGCGTCCTCCCGTCACCCTAGGCTGAAGCTCGCGGTATACTGAGACGCCGCAGTATACCGCGAGCTGCTGCTCGAGGTATACTGAGATGCCGCAGCTGAAGCAGATCCCGACAATTGTGCCGGAATCCGCCCAGCTGCGTGACTGACAGCTGGCTCTGCCTATCTAGAGGCAGAGCCAGCTGTACCAGCCCCCTACCCCGTCCGTTCCACCAGTCAGCGCTGGCAGATTGGAGCGGGGAGAGGGGAATCCAGCCCCTCCCCTGTCACGGCAGAGAGCCGTGACAGGATCGACAGGTGAGCGAACGCCGGTATGTGTTCGCTCACTTCCCAATCTACTGAGCCGACCTGTGACAGTCTCATTGTCACAGTTCGGCTAGAACTGAGTGAAAAGCACTCACCTCATAGTTCTCCTTTAAGCAAACTCAGAATCAGAGGGACATACAGAAGGGGCTCTTCTGACTGACAATTGCAGGTACGTTTACCATTTCTAAGTCAGTCTTTGAGCAGTTCCAGTCTAGAACGATAAATCATGTATATTTTTTTTAATTGCCAAGATCTCCAAAAATTATAACTTAAATTTTGATGTCTGCTAATGAATAGAATGTTTTGCTGGTTCATTATATTTTATGTGTCCTGTAACTGCAAGAGTTTCTGGTTCATTCCTCTGCTGCAGACACTAAGTGAAAAAATCCCACTCCTCCTGCTATATTTGCCTGAATGTAAACAATAGAATCCTACAGCAAGACTGAAATCTATCACATCATGGCTGCAACAGCTGGGTGGAGTTGTGACCTCCAAAGACAGAGAACCCCAGCATTGTAGCATAATTTACAAGAGTGACCCTTTCCTGTTGAAGTTGGAAATTGCAATGAATCCCCTGTAAGCAACCCTTCTCTTGATCACAGGCTGGTAAGCTATTCATGCTGTGTCCGGACCCTGTAATCAGTGGGTAAGGCAGTTAGTGTCACCATGGAAATAGGCTGTTGGGAATTGCTGCTGGTCATACAACCCGTCCATGGGCTATTATAGCAATAGCTGCTACACATGAACATAATTGATGGGCAGAAGTAAACAACACTTTGCTATTGCTACTGGTGCTTTGCTGGTAGTAAAAGAGATGTTAAGAGCCTTGGGATCGCACACTCGCTCAAAGAAACAGCCAGCTGTAATGGTGACAGTTTTTCTCAGAAAGCTAGAACTCAGTATGTCTGCAGGGAAATATAACAAGACTTTGCCATAGAGGTCACCTAACTTTGAAGTTTTGCAGGTCAATGGCACTACTAACTGTCCCATTATCGCAACAACATTTCAGCCAATTAAAATGAATGGCAGCTGGAAATCTACAGTGGGTCAAGCACTTACATAAAGCCGATCTTGGAATAGACCAAGCTATTTTTAAAGTTTATTGCCTCCGTAAACCAGCACTTGCAACTCAGAATAAAGGAGAGCACATTACACGGATGACATTCTTCCATAGATGAGTGGCTTCCAGATGATGCTTAAATATATGGCCACGTGTATACAAAGGTTCATAACATCTAACCATCTAATTGTAGGATCCAGTGTACATAAGGTATAATATAGCCTTGCCTTTGTTAAAAAAAAAGTCCTTTGAAGGGGTTTCCAAGGTAAATAATTATGACAGACATTCTTTAAACATCTCTTTAATTTACTACAGAGGAGATCCCTCTGTAGCCATAAGCAATAGCAATTCCCTTGTGATGTTTACATTAGCTCACCATACCAAGCCTAACAAGGATACTGGACAGTACCTACACAGTGCCTATGTATCTGTCTTTTAGTGCTAGATTTCAATTCCAGTGGTGCAATTGTTGAATTCTGATATTGTAGCTGAAAATATGGGAGGAGGGACCCCTCAATATTACCACTTCAATTTCCATTTATCCCAGAAAATAATGCAAAGATACTAAACGTGAACTCTAGGCAAACTGCTATATATGCCGAGAAATGACTGGCTGTTTTACCTGCCAAAGGATATAGGTTTCTATCTGCCCAGTCCAGAGATTTAGGCCTCGTTCACACCATCCTCAGTGAGTTCCGGCCCGATTGTGGCCGGAACGCACTGGATCGCATTGCCGGAATGCACTGAGGATGGTGTGAACGGGACCTTACAGAGCTCTGCCCACATCACAGTCCTGTCAAGCAGGGGAGGGAACCCGATTTTTCTCTGCTGCAGTTTCACTTTCACTTACAGGTCCCCTCCTCACCCAGTGACTGGACAGTGGAAGGAGTAGTAGGACAATGATGAGCTCTGCAAGAGGCTGATGCCAAGTAAAATCCAGGTACTTGCGCTGTGTGCTTTAAATAAAATAAATGTAATGGTGTATATATGATTACAGATCTGTAGGAACTTTACCCTTATCTTTAAATTTCCAACAAAGGCACCCTTAGAAATGTGACAATCTACAAACAGATACTTATAGATAATTGCAGACTTTTCTTTTCCTCCCCATTCTACTCACAGTGGCCATTTTTTACTAAGGTCAGATTCATCTGTCTCCCGTTACTTCCTGGAACTCTGGCACATGTCACTTGGACATGTGACCATGCACATCATCTGAGTGGAGGAAAACACTTTTCCCTGAGATCTCATGATATATATCTTATACACACACGCAAATTTTTGAGTTTTTATTTTGTACCAGTCAGCTGTGGCCCTTAAACAGTTCTTTTCTTCTCTTGTGGGTATTTGTCAGTCCCTGTGGACTCCGGGCTATTAAAACTGGGCTTATTGGTCTTGTCTTTTTTGGTCTATGACAAAGCAGTTGCCAGGAATGGGGAGACTGAGGGTATCATGGACTTATAGGAAGACTTTTTTTCATTCATAGTATTTTATAGCACTGAACATGAATGATTTTTAATTCCATTCAGCTGTTGAATCAGGTAAAAGAAAACAGACATAAATACATTTTTGTTTATTTAAAAAACAAAACAAACCTAAGACAACACTAATGGCTCCAATGTAACATCCAGACCAAACAATTTTTGCTTTCGCACAATGGCATCCATGTCTTGTAAACAGATTTTTTTTTAAAACATAAAAAATAAAACAGAGTCAACCAATGTGGTTCAGCTGATGAGTATATAGAAAAAAAAGTCCTTTCTTGGAGCAGAACCTGAAGTGTTAATGCACCAAGATTGAAACCATGAGCTTCCATCTTTTCTTCAAGGTAAACTCTGTAGGCACAAATTAATGATGGGTTCTCGAGGTTTCCACCGATTCACAGCTGTGGCTTTGTCCATTATGACTGCTGATGTAAGGCAAGTGTCCGGGCTCTCCTCATTCTCACATGCCCATCCTGATGCTCTGGATTATTTGAAAAATTGCTGAAACAGAAAGGGTACATTGCAGTCAGCACTCTGACAAGTCACCCAATCACCCATAAAACCAAATCCAAAAAGCATGTTCTTCTTAAAAGACTAACCAGGTTTAGATTTAAAATGGTTCTTATACACAAGATTGGACTGTTTATGTTATGATAGGTATATGAGTTTCTTTGAACGTGCACTGATCCTTTCTCCACCCCCGGCCCAACTACCATCTCAGATCACATCTTCCCCCCACCGCGATTTATACTTACCAAGATCTGTCACCCGTGGCCTCCAGGGATTGTTTACCTTCCACACCGAACTCCTCTTACTACCTGCTGCTTACTACCTAGAGCCATGTAGACTTCTATGGGGCTCTAATGTGCAGGCGCGGTAGGCAGTGAGAGGAGTTCAGCGTGGGATGTAAACAATTCCCAGAGGCCACGGGTGACATATCTAAATAAGTATAAAAGGTTCAAAATGCCAACCAGGGAACTACAGACCAGTCAGTTTAAATGGTTCTTCTTCTAATTGGTCTAAGGTGGAGAGTGGCGTGCCCCATTTATTAATGATATTGGGGAAGGTGTTAATGGTAATAGACACGAGCTTAGACATCCTAACATTACAGCAGGATCTGGATAAAATAGGGGAGTGGGCAACTACATGGCAGATGAGTTTTAATGTTAAAAAATTGAAAATAGAGGCCACCACCTAAAACTGGAAGAAAAAAAGATTTAACCACACAGGGCGTAGGGTTTTTTTTTCAGTCAGAATGGTTAGATTTTGGAACTCTCTGCCACAAGAAGTGGTATCAGCAGAGAGTATTGAATCATTCAAAAATCATTTAGATACCTTCTTCAGAGACCGTAGCATACAGGGGTACAGGTACTCTTAATGACTGGAACACACACAGACTCGTATACACACCCACCCACACACAAAGGTTGAACTCGATGGACCCGTGTCTTTATTCAACCTCAAATACTATGCAACTATAATTCTGCAAAGGGGGAGGGGGAGGATGGGTTCTGAGATGTTTGAGGAGGGGGCAGAAAGAATAAGCGCATTTATTCTTTAAGCATGTAGCAAACCTCCACTCATTCAGTCTTTATTACTCTTCTTATAACAAGGCAAAACATAAGTAATGTACATTTTTAATATCAGCCTTTTGGATTGCCATCACTTTATGTATTTTTGCCGCATGCAC